GATGTGATTGGTTTGATTTTGGGTGTGATTGAGTTGTATGTTCAATTTACATTGTATGATGGGTGATGATAATGAAGTTGACTTGTATATTTGATTTATGTTGTATGATGGGTGATGATAATTAAGTATGTATTTGTGTAATCGTTATGAACTATAAATGGTGATTGTGGAACTTGAAATCTTGCATGATATACCTATTATTCACTCATGATTATATGACTTATTATATTGACATATTATCTCACCATTACTATTTGAATGTTGCCTCTATGTGGGTAACATACAGATAACCAGAAGTAGTGTGAAGTCGTGGAGTCTAGGAGAGGTTGCTCTTCTTATTTTTAGTTGGTGTCATTTCTCTGATACATAACACTGGGGGGATGAAAGTTTGCTTGTTTATTTAATTGATGTTTTTATTTTGGAGTATTGTGGGAGTACTATAGACTCTATTTTATTTGACTAGAAATGTTGTTTTGCGATGAGTTGAAGATGTTGAAAACAATTTACGAATTTCTTTCCGTTGCATTAATAAAGTTGAAGTTTGAAGACTATGTTGAAATGTTGTTGGTTCATCCAAAATAGTTGTGTTATCTATCTATTTACTAAATGATTGAGAAATTTTTTAGATGATGAAATGTAACATCCTATTTTTATGTTGATTGGAAAATATTAAATTACTCTGATTTTTACTTGATTTACCGACGGGGAAATAGGGTGTTACACCAATCCCTTCGATATTAAACCCAGGGTTCAACAACTCGAGCTAGGTTACTGCAGTGTCAAAACCCATTGTCGTCTCCGCCAAAAAATCAGACTCGAGGACCTGGATCCAAGTAACAAATTCAGCCTGAGTCTTCAAGACTTTGATCTCATTAGACTTATGCTCAGCAGGCACAACAACACACTTTAAGTTAGCAATTTCATCCTCGAGAGTTTTCTTTTCGAGAAACCAAGCACCCTTCTCAGCAGACAGTCTCGTCGCCGCCTGCTCCTTCTTCTTCAGCTAGACGCCCTGGACTCGAAGTTTCTCCTTAGAATTATCAAGCGCAATTTGCAGCTTTTTTGCTTTGCCTTCTAGGGCCTCTTTCTCTGCCTGCAGTTTGTCCAACACAGCAACCGAACCATTCTCCTTGCCATAAAGGACCACCACCATTTCCAAAACTTTCAACAGACCAACGGAGTTGTCGGCCAGCTATTTCTTCCTGTTTGTCGGGCCAAGGCTCGGAATGACTGAAGATTTTGCCTCAGTTAGAGTCAAGGGATACACATTGAAAAATCCCTTCTGAGCAAAACAAGGAGGCAATGTGAAAGCCTGAGCGTCAGTATCGCTCTCCGTCAAATCTAAAACATCACCCTCAGAATGATTCCTCTTTATGCCTGAAAGTTGTTGCGCGGATGGAGAATGTTCGATGTTCGGCGACATGGAGGAAGTGCTGGAGCCATCTTTGATTTGGCCCAGAGCAAACCGAGTAACCTTCAGCATCTTCTTGGCCTTCGAATAATCCTATGCCAGTTTGAGTATACGCTCGCGTTGATCCGCAATTTTACCCACAAAGAGCAACAAACCAAGATTAGTACGTTAGCAAAATAGAGGCGGCCACGATAAAATGGATGAAAAACCAAGGAGAATAAGCACACAGGAAAATACCTAAGAGCGTTACGCATTCCTCGACAGTATGGCCCTCGAGGATTGCCTTAGTGTTTATTGCTCGAGCCTCAAATACTGGCTCATCGTTCTCGTCGAGGAAATTATTTTCCTCCCTCGTCACTCACTGGACAGGATATAAGCTGTCGATGAACTTGCAAAGTTTAGCACATGACACCTTGTCCTCCTTGCCTATAGGACCCTCCGGGGTAGCGTAATAGCATGGGAGATGGTCGAAGTGAGTCAAAGTACAGTCGAGGGGGAAATTCGAAACCAGCTCCGTTTGTACCTCCCTGTTTTCATGAAGAAGCATTCTGCCCTCTTTGTCGACCAATACCGCCTCCTCCAGGGATGAGTCAAACGCTTCGCCCGACACTGGCTTGACGAGGAAGTAAATGTCCTTAAAATCACTGACAGACTCCAAGAACATCTTAAAGAGCTTCTTCTTTGTCTGCTTCAAAGAGACCCAACCATGTTTCCCCTTCACGGTCTGTCGCTGAAGACGAAAGCAGCGGAAGAAAAGGGGGATCGTGGCACCGATCTCAAGATATCTGCACACTATCTTGAATTCCAACATAATCTGATTGCATTCAGATGCAGATGGGAGGGCGCCAATGAGAGGTGACCGAAAACCGCGACCTGGAAGTTAGTGAAGGGCGACTGAAGCCCTAACTCTTTGAAAACAATTTCATACATTGGAATGCGATTGTTCTTATAAAACTAGTAGACCTGTTTACTCATGGAGGGCTTGCATACTTTCCAATGTTTAACCTATGGGATATGCACGAACGTGTTTTCCAAAGACGCCGCATAACGAGAAGCTATGCTGCGAGGCTCAGGGGCAACCCAGCTTAGGAGAAGGTCAGCGACCAAGTCAACCATTTGAACGTCTTTGGCGGCTTCAGCCGTTTCACCTGAAAAGCAGAGGGACACACTGAATTTGATGGTCAAATCAAATCCACCCTTCCACCACAAGTAAAGTGAAAGGGCGCACCATGGGACGCGGATACAATCCCTAACCAAGCCCCTTCTCGACATCTCAAAGGGAAATCAAAACCAACCCCAGGGCCAAGGGTGCGACCAGTATCGGCCAGAAACACAAAGGCAAGAACTTCGCATGCGTAAAAATCCTTCTCGACTAATAAATCACGCGAGGGATTCATGAATCTCCCAGGGAACACATGAATCTCTCGAGGAGAAACATGAATATTTTGGGCGAAATCAAGAATCTCCCGGGGAACGCATGAATCACCTAAGGAGTAACATGAATGTTGCGGGTGAAACATTTCATTTCGCGGGGAACACATGAATCCCGTGGTCAAAAATACGAATCTCACATGAATATTACGGGGAGAGAAGTAAAATCTACAAGTTTCATAGGGAGAACCTCCTCAAAACACGAAATTCATCTAAAACATGCATGTTGCAAAGATCAAATGGAACATAGAGAAAGGGAAATCACTTACTTGGCTGAGGGTTCATTCTGGAGAGTACGGCGGCGACTGCGGTGGTGACGATGTCCGAATGTAACTCGATGAACAAAGAGCGAGAGGAGAGCGGGCACGAGGGAAAGGCAAACGTGAAAATGTACCTAAAACCCTATATATAAACCCTGCACGAAAGGAAAAGCGTCACTTCGGGCGGCGTGCCTACGCCTTGACACAAAGCCGCCTACACCTCTAGGTCTTGATGGCCCTTATGCCTAGGTCATCATGTCACATTAAAAGCTATGGCACGTGGCACATGAAGCAAGTGATGACCAGACCCTTCAACTCCCCGAAAGTCGAGCATTCTCATAAAACACAGTGGCGAGGGCCATGGGGAAAGCTCCCCACGAGCACACTTTATACTCTCGACCATTATACTTAGCTACATCCTCCTTGGCCGATTAACTACTCTCGAGCGAAACCGTTCAGCGGGGAAGATTATTAAGCTTAAGAGCCCCATCTCCTTTCTTTAAATGTGCTGGATCGGAAGTTCATTCCCTCGTCACCGTCGACCATCCCCCGACCGAGGGTCGAAGGCACAAGCTGACCTAAAAGTCATAGCTCCTCTACTTAAGAGCAATGATTTGGGGGGTTCGTGTTCTGGACTAGGCATGTGCTTAATCTACTGTCGGGCAAGGCCCGACCTAATACTTCTATAGGCCCAATAACTTGTTGGGGGCAATGCCTTCACTTGCCCCCAGTCAGGCAAGTCCACCTCAGTAACTCAAATGGCAATAACCGTCGAGGAACACCTTCTACAAGGGCTTGTCGAGGATCTCTCATCCAAGGGCACGTCGAGGATCTCTCCTCCATGGGCACATCGAGGACACCGCCTCCACGTATGCGTAGAGGAGTTCTCCCCCACGTCCTCACCAAGAGAACATGGCTAACGGATCCTCCAAATATCAGAGTCATCCTGCTCCCGAAGAACAGGTCTTCACCTCCGAGAATCGCGGAGCAGTTGAACCAGGATAGAGACCACGAACTGGCCCTATCTACCCACATAGAATTCTGGCAGTCTCCATTATGGGTCTGGGCATCCAGCCCAAATGGAGACGTTGACCCAACGATGAGGACCATAAAACCCTTTTTCACTAGAGGACCAGGTACATTGTTTACTACTCACTTACACTCTCTACTTGTATTGTCTCTGAAATTTACTTTGACATCAGAGCGTCTTGCAGGTACCCTCATTCACTTCAACAACCGTAAAAGTCAATTGATGCGGACTACCGAAGATCATTCTAATTAAGTACAATCAATTACTTTAGACTTAATAGAATTGTGTGACTTGACGTTTTTATAGAGGTGCAATAGTTGTACTTTAACAACAAGATCTTAGTGGTGTTGTTGGTTATCATACTAAAGGTCTCTCCTCAAATCTAATTTTTTTAGATTTTAGATTTTATATATATCAACAAATCCAATTTTTTTAGATTTTAAAAAATTAAAAATTTTAGTTACACAATTGCATATTTTATATTTTAATTAAAAAATTTACTAAATAAATTAGTTTCATAATGTATTTTCTTACATTTCATAAAAATACTATTTTTTTAAATAATATCATAAAATATATTCTAATTAGAATATTTACTAAATTTTTTTTTTCCTATATTTCATAAAAAAATGTTATTTTTTTATAATATCTTAAAAGATAATCATTCATATAAATTTCATAAAAAAATTGTACGATGATTTTCATAAAAATTAATTATCTTAATAATAGTCAAATAAAATAAAAATGGGGGAGAAAATGAGACTAATTTGAAACTGTGAAAGAAAATGATGTGGCCGTAACTTTGGTTGCATCCATGGTATTGACTAGAGTATAATCGCTTTTTTCCCTCTCAAACTCAAAAATTTGAATGCTCCATTTTCAAAACCGAACCAACGGCTCCATGAACGGTTCTAACAGAAACGCAACTTCACCATTACCATGTACCGTTTCCATCTCTCCCTTCTCCGTCAACCGCCGCCGCCTCTCAACCTCAACACTTTTCGTCGAGCGGAGCCGCCCAGTCTCATCGGAGAGGCCTATGGCTTGGATTTCCCTTCAGGGACGGCTTGTCAATGGCGATGAAGCTAGCTCGGCTCGAACCATTGGCGGTGGCCTAACGGATGAATTAGCATTCGCTTGGAATCTCTTCCCTCCCATTCATCGGTTTCTCATTGTTGCTGTTATAGGTGCCGCTGCTTCGACTGCTAGGTCGCAGAAAAATCAAGAGATATTGAACCTTAAGAAGTCCGTTGAGCTTAGGGTATGGTTATGGTCCCTTGGAATTTATTCCTTTTCACTTTTTCATTTGTTAATTTGATGCTTGTAATATCTTTGGTGGGGCCAATTTCTGCTGCAGCTTTCAATTCAGCTTCAAAATTAATATCCAAATCTAATGGTGTAATTTGCTTTATTGTTTCTTGTTATATTAGATTTTAGGGTTTAATAGTCATTTGGTAATATATTGGGATTAAGTTACCGTTTTAGATTATGAGAAACAAGTGTGAGTTGTGATGAAACAAGTGTGAGTTCTAAGTCCCACATTGCTCAGAAAAGTGAAGGTTGAGCACTTTATAAGTGAGAGAACCCATAGACCTATCACTTTAAGGTTTTGGGTGAATATGTGGTGTCTCTCTCACTTGTTTGGGTGAGTTTTTGATTTTTAGGTGACTAAGGGACCGACTCCTTTTGTCGAAAGTCTTCCTAACATGATGGTTAGGCGGTGTGTCCCGTTGATGTGCAAAAGTTGATCCATATAGCCTACCCTAACTAGTGGGATAAGGCTTAGTTGTTGTTGTTGTTAAACATTTGTTGTCGCGAGCAATAGTCGCTGAAATTGCATGGTAAATGAACCTTTGGACTTGTTTGGTTGTCCCAACTTTGAATGTATGTAGTAATACTGTTTTATTTCATCACTATATTACAGGACCAGGTGTTATCGAGCATGCAGGAGAAGCTTGACGATCTATGCGAGCAGCTTAACAGTTCTAAAGAGAACACAGTTGTTGCCATCAACGAGTTATCCAATAAGGATGGAGAATTGCAATTGGAAGAAACATTTGGCTCCCAGAGAATTAAGTTTGTTGATTGTGGTTGTTGGCATTGTGAAGAACATTCTTCCTTGTATAATGGATTGATGGTAAGAAACTCGTACTCATAATAACTGTTCTGTGCTTATTGTATAGCTTCTCTCTCACTTGGCGCTGGACAATTATATGTTATAACTCTACTTCTTTCTATCGCGTTCATTGAAAAACTTAATTTTGTTAAATTGCGGTTATAGCGTAGCGGAATTTGAACAAATCACTAATGTCCTGCAGTATGGTATTTAGAGCTAAGTACTGTCAAATAGTGGCTCTAGCCAGCACTTCAGCATTGCCGTGAAGTGAAATTTAAACAAACTGCTATTTTACACGATCCACAATTGACAACACTAGAGCAACCTAGCTTTGAATTTGATCATTCATTGACTTTGTTAGCAGGATGCCAATAGTAGAAAAGCTTCCAGTGGAAATGAGGTGCTCCAATATAAGTCACCCTTCTCTAATGAAGAACAAGAGGAGAGAAGAATGTCTGACTGGTCAGATTTGGCTTCAAGTGTTACATCTGCTGCTGATATCCAGGTATTACTTTTTTCAGGTCATCTTTGTTAGGGTCCTATGTGAGAAACGGTACGACATTTCCTATGTGGGAAACGAGACCGACATTTCATCTGAGCACTTAGCATCCACATCTGCTTGTAAATGATATGTAATTTTCCAAATTTCACTTAAATATTTGCAGTTTAGGCTTCTCGTCTCTCTAAAGAGTAATTTCTTGGTTATCTTTATGCAATTAGTTTGTTCTTGCGCTTGAGCTTTTTCAATTTTGGTTGATTGATCTTGGTAGTGATTACTCTACTATAAGTACATTAAAAACCAGATTATCTGTCAGTTTGATGTAAAATTCTCGTTAGAACTTGACTAAACAATCTTCTCATAACTCATTCATGAATTGTTCTGGCAACTTGTTTGTATTCCACGCTGTGGACTTTAATTGCATCCAAGTTAATGACTTGTAATTGCTTGATTGTGTTGTTGCTTCAAAATAGCGAAAATGCAATTGCAGAATTATATTTTTACGTTTGTTTATTTTATCTGTGGTCGTGCTCCTTTTTTCACGGTTTCCTTGTGTTTTTATTAGTTCTATCATCTTATTAAATATTATCTTTGACATGCTTTCCGTTATGCTCAGTTAAACAACTTGGCTATAGAACAAGATATTTATAATCTTAAGAGAGACTGTGAAGAGAAGGAGACGACAATAAATGAGCTAACCACTCAGCTGAACTCTTCTGAGATTGCTAATAGCAAGGTAATATCCTTTTAAGTTGTAAATGGCAACTTCTTTTTCTCTTTTTCTAATCCATTTTTACTGATACTTAAAACAGCGGGTTGCTGAATTAGAAGATGTTATAAAGAGAAAGAACACAACAATTTCAAAACTAAAGAAGGATATGGGTGTTCTAGAACAAAAGGTACTATACATGTAGATATCAAAATATGCCCGAAATTTGGATTATTATGAAAGCATGTTACAATATCACATTACTTTTTTAGCTTTCAAAGCAACCAAAACAAGAAGGGTTTCTTATCTCTATAAATTTGAAATGCTTCTATATTAACGTCTCTTTCAAAATTGACCACAGGTTATGCAGCTTACAAGGCTTCGTCGACCATCCTTCTCTGCAAATATTTTAAATGAAATTCAGCTGCCACAAATGAGAGATAACCTCATTTATGATATGGACAGCACTACTAGCCCCTCATCTTCTTCGGATTCTGATAGTTCTCCTGTCAACAACACACAAAATCTTCCTGCTGATGTTTTTGCACCAAACCAAAACTCTGATTCTACAATTGATCGTACATCTACACCGGCAAAAATTGTAAATTCATCAGGGACACTCATTGAACCTCGCTCACAATCTCGATATGCCAGTCCTCTTCAAGAAGTTCCAATTTATCATAAATCCAACGCAGCTTCTTCTTCTTCAAGCCAAAAGCAATTGTCACCTCGTAAGGACTTAAAAAAGAGTAGAAGACGATCTCTCACAGGAGCTAAGACTGCGGGTGCACATAAGAGATGGGTTTAATAGCGAGTAAATCAGCTTGAATTACCAACTATTCCTATTAGCAAACATCGGGTAGCCAATATTCTCCAGGTTTATAGTGATAGTGTTTAAAAACTTGTGGTACATCATGGTTTAAATTAATAAATTATAGATAGCAGCAGCAGGACTATTTAAGTTTTAACTGTAAAATATGGTTTGAGAAATTCCAGCCAGCTATGGCTGTCTATGGGATGATCTCTCATTTCGATTAGTATTCTTCTGCAGACTAGTTTAGCCATTAAATTGGTCTTTTGTTTTGTCAAGTAATTGAAAAGCAGAATCCAGTAAAACCTCATTTTCATTATTGTTGTTGGGATGAACCTCTGCTGGTTTATATCTTAAATAATGAGTACATGTTACAACTTACATTCAACACTTGTTTTATCTGCTCTTTTTTTTTTTTGGTTCTTCTGGGTATGAAGATGTTTGGTTTTTTAATTTTATTTTGGAAGTTCTGGGCATGAAGCTCTTTTTCCTTGAGTAAATAAGTTCTTAAACAAAACTTCGAAAATGTTCAATATTAACATACTAGTATATCTTAGAGACATCTTATTTGAACATCTAAAATTGGGCAATACAGTGTCCCCCTTTGTGTTTTTTAGGAGTATTAGTATATTTTTAAAATATGAAAAATTCGGATATCAAAGTAGATAAGAGATAAAGAAATGTAAATGTAAATTAGGATCTACTCTAATTTTTATTATAATTCTTTTTTGACTTTTTAAAAATTAATTTAGCAATGGATGGATTTGGACTATCTATTTCATGAGATATCTATATTGATGGGATAGATTACTTATTCTAAGACGGAGTTTCTCTTTTCACCCTTGTGTGTTATTCCACACAATTATGAAAAGTTTAGATTGTCTTTAGAATTTTAAGATGCATCTTTGGACGCATCTATTTTAGTTATTTCTCAGACTAATTTAAGAGGCATTTATATTGTGCTAAAAATTAAATCAGAGATGTGTTTCCGTATGCACAAAAGTGCGTCTGAAGATACATCTGAAATACCATTTATTCAAACAAATTATGGGTGGTTCGGAGATGGATATCTAGACTCGTTTCTTTTCATATCACTGCGTCAGACTGCCTTTTCAACTTCCTTCTTGTTCATTTTCTGTAAAAAAAAATTCTCTTCCTCCTCTCAAACTTTTGAGCACTCTGTTCCATTCAAGCTTTTCTTTATAACAAGCTTCTTCTATCGTTGAAGCTCTAACTCCTCCTTTCCAGCATCTCATAACTCACACATTCAATTTGATTTGGCAAATTTTTAAAAATTCTCTCTTTTTATGTTTTGATTTGTAGTTTGTTTAAGCTACATTAATTGTTTTAGGTACATTAGATAGTATAGTGTAAACGAAATTGGTAGGCTAGAAGAACATGCATTGAAGTATTTTTGAACTGTTAGAACATAAATGGTATTTCTGCCATAGAAGACAATCACAGGTTTGTCCGAAGATGCATCTCCGAATTTGCTATGCATTGTTTTTGAAGATACATCTCCAGACTAGACTCATGCAAAAATTTGGTCAATTATGTGGAATTTTTGAATTTGTCCTGACATGCTGTTTATATTTATCTCTATTTCTAATGCAGGTGCAATGACTGAAAACAACACTAGACGAACTAGGCTTAGGCATGTGTCCCAAACTACGTCGGTATGACGTGAGAGGACCGCGATGAGGACCATGAGGCCACAAGTTGCTGATAACTCGTCTAATGATGCATCTACTTCGCATCCCCGAGGTTCCCACCCGTTTGGTTTTCGTAGCTGACTCTCTCAGGCATATGATATGGCAGATCCTGAAGTTCGTAAAGCCTCTAAAGCGTTGGAGGAAGCTGTTGTCGATGCTCCTTTAGAGAGTTAACTAGGAGGACTATATGAGACCTCATTACTTCATCTATATGTCGACTATGCTATTAGGCGTGTATGCGAAAGAGAGGTATATTTATTTTCTTTTCAAATTCATATGTTTTCTAGTACTTACATCGATATTGATTGTGATATCTTTTTTATAGGAACATCTATATTTGAAAAATGTGAGCCACGACGGGAAGATATTGGAGTTGGAATAATCCACTACTGCTTGGTTCATTGACGTTATCCGTTATTCTGGTCTTGCAACTTTACATTTTGTTGCTTACATGATCATAAACAACGACATGTAGGCGACATTTACTGAGAGGTGGCATTCAGAGACGTCATCTTTCCACCTTCCTATAGGCGAGATGACCATCACCTTGGATGACGTCTCATGCCTTTTACATCTTCCCATCAAGGGGAGATTACTGAACCACTGGGGGATTGGGCGAGAGGAAGTCATCGATATGATGATCATCTATTTGGGGTCTGACCCTGTTAAGGTTGTACAAGAGACACATGACACTAGATGTGCTCATGCTAGGTTTAGTTTTTTTGAAAAGCTTTATAAAGTACATATGCAGTTGGCTGCGGACGCAGAAGATGATGGCATGCAGGTTGAGTACCACCGATAACATTGCACATTGAGGCGTTACCTCTTATTCATGGTTGACACGTCCATGTTTGTGGACAAAAGTGAAACCAAAGTCGATGTGGTCTACCTTAAATACTTCGTCGACCTGACTTCGATCACAAGCACAACTGGGGGCTGCCTATTTGGTCTATCTATATTCGAAGCTGAGCGAGAGTTATCTTTGGAAGACAAAATAGATGACAAGGAGATGCACGCTACTTACAGTATTTTCTTGTTACTAATATTTTTATAATTAATTTATCACACTTGTTATTAATATTGTATACAAACCATTTTCAAGGATGAATCATCTCCCACATTCCTCGCATCACCAGGTGGGAAGTTGCGTTATATATGATGATGATTGACAACGTGCAGTCACATTCATTTCGTACAGGGGGAATAGTGTGATCGAGCCACTCAAAGTCTCTCTTGACCGTATGATACCAGATGAAGTTTGTTTCTGCCCGTACGAGGGTCAGGGCCACACACATCAGTTTGACATCATTTCGACGTTATTTTCTTATACTTCGGATGACTGGCATGTGTGTCATCTCTTATGCATCCTTATCTCCCGAGCAAGCAATGCGCCCATTTTTTTACTTGCATATTATTCCGAGACCTCCATATGAGTTTGCTCCTCCTGGCGTCCGCCGTAGAGATCTTGGTGCAATATTGGATAATTTTGATAGTCACTTGATACTAGATGAGTATCGTAAGGTACCAGCTCCTTTTCAATGGACTTATGTTGAGGGCTACATGACACGGTTTTATAAGGTGTCATACCATATCATGACACCAAACGCTTCTGGAAGCCACCTAGGTCATCTAACCAGGAGGTACTTAAGGCTCATGACGACCACATCAAGGATGTGACAGCGGTCTGTCAGTGTTTTATAAAGATGGGTGAAGCAGACATAGAAGTATGACTCTTTGAGGATGACAGTCTTCAGTTGTCTCTAATGGAGAACATGATTGTCGAGTTACGAAATATCGTCAAGTACAGGCGGAGAAAAACGCGTGGAATTAAACATACCCATTAGATTATATGTGGATATTTTTTTTTTTTATATTTTTAGACAAATGTTATATATGATCCTACATTTTAATTAATGTATGATTATTTAACTTTCATTTGAGTTTACTTTAAAATAACTTTCTTTCAAATCATTAACATGCTTCAAAAAGTACAATGTTGAAACAAGGACTATATCCTAAAATTATTCATGAGACATTTCTAAGATACATTTATATACTAAATAATGTATAGAGATGAATTTTTAGACTATATTACATTTAAAATGAAGTGATATTAAAATAGTGTATTGTGATGTGATTTTAAATATGTCTGAAAATATATCTCTAAATATATGAAGAGCAATTTTTGAATTTTCAAAAATATGAAATGGTGAAAAGAACATCCCTTCCAAGACACTCGTTTACCCATGAATTTATAATACGGATTGGTTTCGGCAAATATCTTAGAGCATTCAAATTTCAACGTGCCTTCACATTCTCAGTTTTGTCGCATCCATCCTCATTATTCTGGTTAGCCTCACTCTATATTGGTGGCTCTATATTTCAAATTTAATGGCTAGACGTTGAATTGGAATAATAACGATACTATACTAAAAAAACATATTTTCAATGGAATAAAATAATTAATTTAAAAAATCATTGACTCAGAAGTTGACACCACCCTACGTTTGAAGCATGTGAAGAATGACGTTGTTATGATGGTTGTTGCACTACAAACTGGTATAGGCCGCGCTTATGAAGCTTCCATGGAATCAGAGTCAGTTCTCCATACACACACCGCATTATTTTAGAAATACACCCCACGCTCATTTACATTGTCAACTTCCTAATCATTTCCTCCAATTATTTTATAGAAAAAGCTAACATATATCATGAAGGTACAAATTAATATATTATTTATAAAAATAATTTTTAAAATACGTGTATTTAATATTTTAAAATTTTAAATATAATTTTATTATATTTAATTATATTTAAATTTTTTTAATTATATATATCCTAAAAACACATGTTAATATGACCTCTATTTTATTTTATATCAAGAGTGAAGACTACAAAGTTTGGTAAAATGAGAACTACATTATTAGTTTAATAATTAAATTTACATGCTTTAAATATTAAAAAGTGAATAATTGATGTGAAAAGGTGAAAATACTTTAATAATTAGATTCACAAACTTTATACTATATCAAATAAGGTCATGAATCATATGATGGTTTCCGAAAATTCATGATATGGAAGAATAATGGGGACCCATGAGAAATGAAATCTTATCATATTAGAGAATGGGTATGGAGGCGAAGGACCTTTGGAGGGGTTGGAGTGGGACATGGAGTAGGTGACACTCTTATTCATCATATTCCAATTATAATGATTAATATGAATTAGTTTTTTATTCGTGAATGATTTTTTCTAGAGTTGAGAGGAAGATGGAAAAAAAACGTA